CTCCCACCTTCAGATCCGCTATGGCGGACTATACCCCTCGGCGGCCACCTCTGCTATGGCGCTTCAGGCCCTGCACACGACGGCGCGCATGGAATAGCGGGTACCAGCTCCGATACCAATGCAATCAGACTCGTTCTCATTCACACTTTTCATGCATGTAAACAGTAGCGCAGCAAACTGGCGACGTGCGGCCACTCAAAACTCGGAGATATGGCACCCAGATACGAGTTCACTTCCAATAGGCTATGGCGACTCAGCGCCCAAACAACTCACTCTTCACATACACCGGATCACCCTGGATATCCCACACACGTCACTCTGAACACTCACACATACACACACACACTTCACACTAAACTACAGCTATGCAGCTATGGCTGCCTGTACCCTATCGCTATGCTACGCTCCTCTCTCGCCCACTTCAGCTCCGGGCTCTCTGCAGACCTCCTTGCACAAGTCGCTGTGGCAGCGCTTCCGCATGGCTCACGCAGGAATGAATGAATGGCTGGGCACTGCCTCTTGATTTATACTTCTGAAACTCGGTGGTCTGCCCCTTTCCATCGGCCCATGGTGCTCACAGTCCCTCGTGGTACTTGCTGGACCGGACTGGGACTGACTGGACCTTACTGCTGACTGACTGTGGACTCACTGCTAACCTGCCGTAGTCGTAGTGCAATCGCACTGCAGTTTAGTCCGCCACTTGACTCACCACGTGCCCACTTGCCCACTTGCTGACCTTCTAGAAGGACTACAGCTAGGCTTCTGGAACTTCCTAAGACTCCTATTCTATAGATCTACAGATCGAACCCCTGCTTCCTTTGGGACCCTACGACAGACTACTAACTGTTACAAATACACAGGTCGCAGGTTCAACTCTCGGGGTCTACATGGATACTGTACACAGGTAGGGCAAGGTCTAGGGATCGAACCTTGGGATCTGCATCTGCTACTGCTAAGAGGTGAAAACGTTTCATCACACAGCCAAGAAGCGAAAATGAAACAAAACCCAACGAAACAGAAGACACATGAAAAGCACACACAACCTACGTAGATCTAAATCACATCCCATGCCCAAGAGGTTTTCATGCCGTGTCAGGCGTGTCGGGCATGTCAGATTTTTTACATCGGACGCCCCACAATTCCCGATCCGACGGCTGCCCTGGATTGCAGGAAATCACATACGTGGCGGCCATTCGAGGTGCCGAAAGTTGGAGCCCAATACAACCGCTGATATAAAATACTACGGCATGCAACCTCCAGTGGCCGCCACGTATACAGCCTTCCGGCGGTAAGCTTTAGTAGGGTGAGAGATTTTACAATTTGTTCAAAGATACCCTATTGCCCAGAGGCTTGTCCCAAGTACTTGTCAGCCTCATTCATTGGCGTCGCCCGGAATCCTTACTGAGTTCACCCTCTGTTACTTTTCTGCTATGTCCAGATGGTCCCAAAGGTCTACTGTTCTTCCTGTGCCGGGGTACTCCAATGCAGGATCGTCGTATTGGAGTTGTGCAAGTCTTTCCACCTTAGATTGACATCCTGAAGGTGCTCCTCCTCTCCTCTTGCCAACCAGACCGTTTGAATTTGGCCAGCATTTCTTGTTCTATATCTGGACTGCACGGAATACTGAGCTTGACTTTCTTCCATTGGCAACAAATCTCTGCTTCAATCATCCCCTTGGTTTCTGAGCATACCTTGGCGCGTGGATTCTAAGTGCCTTCTGGAGTCCGGCTGCGGATCAGTCCTTCTATATGGCCCATAAAGTGGCCTTGCGGATCAGTCCGAACCAGAGCTTTTCTAGTCTGCCAAAATTGTGCGGTGTGTTAGTCCAGAGGAGAACCTGGATGGCGTTTTCAGGAAGAGGGGAGAGAAAAGGATGTCCCATAAGTCTGAAGCCCTAGCCCAGTATTATGTTGCCTCTTTACATTTAATTAGGCAATGTATTATGTCTTCCTGCTCCTCATCAGAGAAGATTGCGCATAGATCATTCTTTCTCCTTCTGACGTGCAGGCACTGATAAGCCTGTAGGGCGACATAGGCTATGAGCCATCGCAGGCTTTGGACTGTAATAAGCCTTATTGTTCAGAAACTTTCCCACCGGATTCTGGTCACAGGGTCAGATTCTGGGCCCAGTATCTTCCGCCATCTGTCTTTAGTTGCTGGTATCGGGTCTTTTGCTTCTAAAAGCATCTTGTATCCCATTTTGACTGTGTATTCAAACACTGGGAAAGGGCCTTTGATGGATCTACTTTATCCGGAAGCCAAGCCCATTCTGCAGGGTCGAATTCTAAGTCCGCAATGGGCATCCTCATCTGGAAGACTGGAACATCATTTTCTGATTTTCGTCCATAGTCCCAGCACTCTTACTTCGAGGAGAGCATCCTTGTTCTGCACTATTCGTTTTTTTTTTGTTTTTTTTTTTGAACAGGTCCTTATGGGCCTGGCTCCTTTTCCATTCTGGGGAGCATCAGTCTGGTTCCTATTCCACCGGCAAGTCAGAAAAATATTACATCATGAAACACACTCGTTTGATCAAACACTTACAGATTCAGAAAGGTGCATTTTCCTGAGAAAGATGCTGTCTTTGATCTGCTTTGATGAGATTTCCGAGTGTGTCTGTTTTACTGTGTTTTTCTAAGTTTTTCTGCAAATTCCCTAAACTACTGCCCAAACGGGTACTACAGGGGCGAAACTTTGTTTCAGGCCTACATTGACTGTTGATTTACTTTTTCCTCAGACCGGTCCCGTTAGCAGTCCAGTCGAGTGGGTTGGAACAGAAATATATATAGAATGGGTCCAAAGGGTTAGCAGTCTTTTGTTGAGCAGTTGTTTAGTTGCTCGCGTTGATGCTGCCAGGAGAAGAGCTGTAGCTGGGAAGCTGCCGCTACGGTTTTGGGCAGTGAAGCAGGTGCTTCACCTGCTGAGCTTGGCGACAACCGTATAGGTGCTGTGGGGTTAGGCGCTCCCGTATCTTCTTACACGAGGCAGCTGTTCTTCTCCTTCTGCAAGCTGGAGGTTCCTTCTTCATCCTGGTGCTGGTGCTGGTGCTGGTGCTGGTGCTGGTGCTGGTGGCTTTGAGAAGACCCTCAGACAGTGCTGCAGTACCTGAGTGAGTTCGGAGCAGCACTGGCGCTTCTGGGTTCGTTGAGAGGAGGTGGTCTGCAGGCTAGTGAGGCTGGCACTGTGAAATCGGGCTGTGAGGTTGAGTTCAAGGGCGGAGGAAGACTCCAGAGACTTGATGAATCTGTGTTCAAGTTTCTTCAGGATGGTTTACCCTCGGTTGTGATTCTTGGTTTCTTTTGGTGCTTCTAATCGAGCTGGAGAGTGGTGAGGGACTTCAATAATTTCAATTCTTCTTGGTTATGGAACTTCCGCTGTGCATAGCTCTGTCTGTTGTGGTGTGAATTCCTCTCCAAATCTGCTTTGTCGTCATGGCATGTGTATGGGAACGTGTCGATGCTCTGCTGAATTGAGTTCTCTTCTTTTTTCTTCTTTTCTTTTTTTTTTTTTCTTTTTTTTTTGGAGGGGGGGACAAATGCTCCAGTCTATTGAGTTCTCAATCAGTCGCATAGCATCATTGTGACTTCATTTCCTTTCCAGTAAGGAAAACGTTTTCTTCGCTTGTTTTTCCTTTCTTTTTCTTACATCACGAGACAAATGTTTCTGCTTACAGTCGTTGGAGATGAACAAGGCCCCCGATCTCTGGCGGTAGTTCTCCACAAAAGTTGTTTTCATTTAAATTCCTGTCATCACACAAATTTGAAAAAGGAAGGAGGCAACTCATCAGCAAAGTCAGCCTAGCAAGTGTGAAGAAGGTTGGGTTAGCTGGTTGTGATTCTTCGAAACAAAAACAACAGCAGCAACAACAACAACAACAGCAACTGGTGATTGCCATTCTACTCATGTAATGAGCAGAATCCAGTGTTTTGTGGGTGAGTGAATCTGCTTTGATTTTCATCCCAGGTACCATAGAGGGAATTGGTTTGCAGCCTCTCGGGGAATCAGTTGTGGGGAAGCGGTTGGTGCCGTTAAGGCAGATTATCACTTCTTTTTTCGAATCCAGCCGAATCCGGCCGTTGGCAGGTGTGGAGCTTTTTCTTTTTTTCGGCCGTTTTCTCTCATCTGTCTTTCGCGTTTTTTTTTTTTGTCGTTTCCGCGGGTCGGTTTTGGAAGCCTCAGGGCGATGTTCGAATACAAGCACATAGTGCGCCCATTCTGGTGGGAAGATCACAAGCACATAGTACAAAACGCAGGCTCAGTTCGACTGTATCTGATGCGGTTCACACTCCGGATACATCGGTAAGTAGAGTGATGATACACAGGTTCAGTTTGACTGTATCTGATGCAGTTCACAGTCCAGATACGTGTGGAAGTAGAGTGGTCACCACAGTCCAGATGCGTGTGGAATACGTGTTGAATATAGAGTGGCGGTGGTTGGGCCATTTTCTTACTTTTTTCTTTTTCTGCAACAGCATGCATGGGGTTCTTTTTTTTCCTTTTCTTAATGGGTGTACTGCTCGCCCACTTAGGGCCTCGCTCCACTACTCTCGAAATGCGCAAAACGAGAGTGCACCTTCCGCTAGAACATGGAAAGATACACCGCCATGATTCTTGTCTATTGTGCATGTCGAGAGTAGTGGAGAGAGGTCCATAGGCTTGGTGGGATGGATATCACGACCGGTATGGTTCCACTTTTGAGCACCGTGTCTTGGCTGTAGTGGTTAAGAGACTTGGCTCCTGAGGCCAAGGTCGTCGGTTCGAATCCATGCTTGCACGGAGGAGGGCTTTGGCCCACCTGTGCGGATCTGTATACCACATTGTGGAAGCACCCGTTAACCGATGGGGAAGAATACCCCGTATTGGTGTTCGGGCTAAGTACTGATGGAAGGGGTCCTGTGCAGAATACCCTGTATTGGTGTTCGGGCTAAGTACCAATGGAAGGGGTCCTGTGCAACGGAGCGGAGTGAGCGGGAATTGCCACGTTCGTGGGATGTGTCCGTGTGGTGTGGGTTGCGTTGGACACTACAGCCTTGCAGGGGTGGGGTGGATATCACGATCGGTACAGTTCCACTTTTGAGCACTGTGTCTTGGGTGTTGTGGTTAAGAGACTTGGCTCCTGAAGCCAAGGTCGCCGGTTTGAATCCGTGCTTGCACGGAGGAGGGCTTTGGCCCGCTTGTGCGGATCTATGTACCACATTGGCTATATTGCATTGTTTATGTTTTTTCTTTTTCTTTTGGCAGGGTTGTTGTTGTTGTTTGTACCACACAGGCAACGTAGCACACCCACCTATCCCACACTGCATCGTCCAGCCCATAGTGCCATCCAGTCCACTCTACCCACATGGTACCACCCTACTGACCTGCTACCACCTGGACTGCATGGTACCACAGAGTCCACATAGCAGGGCTTGCCCTGCGCACTGCCACCCATACCCTGCGGGTGGCAGTACGCATGGCAGGTCCTACTATGTGGACTTGGTGGTGCCATGCAGTCCAAGTGGAACCATATTTGTACCGTCCAGTTCACAAAGTATGGCCCACCTCATGTTGGTGTTTTTTTTAACTATGGCTGTGTTCGTACCATCCAATCGGCATGGTGGAACCCATCCTATATGGGCTGCCCGGTTGCGTGGAACCACCCTACCTGCATGGTACCGTCTGCAGCACATGATGCCACTGAGTCCACATACTACGACCGGACCCACCTCCCGCACCACATAGTATGACCCACCCGCCATGGTATCGCCCGACCAACATGGTACCTGTTGGACCACAGGCCACGTAATACCACCTCCCCTACATAGTATTACCCACTCCACATAAGATGACCCATTCCACATATTGCCACCCAACGAACATCCCACATAGTATTTAGCCGTGGCCGTGGGCCCCGGCGCGCCTCGACTTCTTACTATTATTCTTTTTTTTTGTTTTTTTTTGTTTCTTAAGATGAAGTTCGGGGAGTCATTGGAAGTGGGAGATGGTGGCGAGATGAAAGGGGATTGACATTGGTCGTTGCCGGTGTTCATCATCTTCTTCTTCTTCCATTCTTATTTCTTCTTTTTCCTTTGTCTATTTCTCTTTCCATTGTTGCACTTCGAAATAGACAATGATGATGGCGAAAGAGAAAGAAGGAGAAGTGGCAGAGGAGGAGGAGGAAGAAGAAGGAGGAGGAGGAGGAAGAGGGAGAAGAAGAAGAAGGAGGAGGAGGAGGAGGAGGACGAGGAGGAGAAGGAGGGAGGAGGAGGAGAAGAAGAAGGAGGGAGGAGGAGGAAAGGGGATTGACATTGGTCGTTGCCGGTGTTCATCATCTTCTTCTTCTTCCATTCTTATTTCTTCTTTTTCCTTTGTCTATTTCTCTTTCCATTGTTGCACTTCGAAATAGACAATGATGATGGCGAAAGAGAAAGACGGAGAAGTGGCAGAGGAGGAGGAGGAAGAAGAAGAAGGAGGAGGAGGAAGAGGGAGAAGAAGAAGAAGCA